GTAAACACATGCAAAAGAACACAACATTTAGTCTCCTTTCCCCATTCCATTTGCTCTTCACCCTGTGAAGTCCATCAGCATGGCACCAACAAGCCAGCCTGGTGCATACAGAGGTACACAGCAAATACAAAACCAAACAAGCACACACAAATAGAAAAGAGACAAAGCATAAAGAAGCATGCACAAACCAAGAACAAACGTGCAAGCCTCTCTATTTGTGGTACTCAATTAGGTGGAGAGAGATGCAGATAAAAACCATGCCAAGTTACCTTCAACGGAATAAGAATAATGTGCTGGGCTGGGCTGGCTTGTGGTTAACCCTGTAGTGCAGGTAAGAACACTGTGCTGACTTGTAGATGGAGTCTGAATTAAACCACTTTCAGGTTTCATACCTGGCCACAGTGCACCTAAATCAGATAAATTGGACCAGTTATAAATAAACATGCTGGGACCAAACAGCACGCTGCTACCTCAGAGTAAGACTTTTGCTTGTGACAAAAGCAAGGAACAAATCACACATGAAAATGTTTACTTTCTGCAATAAAAAGTCCTGATTGTCAAGCAGCACATGGATCAGGGCTGCTGACAAAACTTGCTGAAAAAAGAAAATTAAAAACACCAACAAGACCAACCTCCAAAGCTATCAAATAAAAATCCATTAGTGTAACAGTAAGGCTCACTGCCACATAGGTAGGAAGGAACTGCTGATCCCTGAGCAGCTAGCATGTAGCAAAGCTGGGGTTGGAATTTACTGATGTCAACACTTTACTCCTTTACTAAGTTTGGGGTCAAATACTTAAAAACAAACTAAAAGTCAGTCCTTTTCATAGGCTGAACATGAGGAAAAATAGAGCACAAAGGAAAAAAAGACCACAGAGTTTCCTCTAGACCTTCTGTCATTCTAGAATCATTCATGCCCGTTCATGCCAATACTGACCAAAGGACATGCAGCAGTGTCATTTTTAATTCCTATGCATGAGGCACACACAGGCACTGTGGTTTCAGTTCAGGTGCTACATTAAGGTCCATTCTGCTATGCTGGAAGCAATGACAACAGTGCCTGACCTCAGGAACTCACCAAGGCCTGATTCTTCTGGGCTCCCCAGGTTTGTTTTCTTAAAAGCTGTTTCTGAACTCAAATTTCATTTATTTCCTTTGTTTCTTGCAATTGTAAGTATTGGAGTCTAAAAGCTGACTGCTAAAGATTGAAGATGCTACAGCTCTTCCACCCTCCTGGACAAAGATCTGCTTATGGGAAGCAGGAGAAACTCCCTTTGAAATGAGATACTCCATTTTCAAGAAGGGGTAGAAGAGAATTACATTCAGTCTTTTAACAGCAGACTGACAGAAGGGTGCTGAGAACCATCATTTAACCACATTTATGACTCGAATTATCAACTCAGAGTACATAATACAGCCAGCAGTTAAAGTTGCTGCAATCCCCAGTGCAAGAAATCTAACCAGCTGGGGTTAATCAATACCTAGTTAAAGGCACTTCTTTCTGACCTGCAGTAAAAAAGCAGGAATTAGTTGGGAAGATCTACTTAGAAAGAAGAAGGAATGCACAAAGCTGAGGGACAAAGGCCACCTGGAGCTAGAAACAATGTTCATGGCCAGCAGAAAGATGACCTTCCATCTCAAAACCTATTCAACCTTGGGAGGGGTGTAAAAAAATTAAACAGGCACCTGTGAATCATATGAAGTCACTCATCTGTATGGTCTTTCAGGGTTTTGATTCCTGTTCATTATGGTTTTAAATCTTGAAAGCCATGATAATTAGCAAATAATAGTGAAAGAATGATTTAAGGAAGATTGCAGACATACTGCAGAAACTGCAGGGCAAATATATGGGAAACAGATCTAAGGAGAGCAAAAGGTGTGGTATTTTTAAGTAGCTTTTGGAGAAGACAGTAACCAACAGTTCCTTACAGTGCAAGATCAGTGGAAAGCAGCAGAGAACACCAAAATCAGACAGTCACAGAGCATACCAACGTGCCCACCCACTGTGATAGTGAAACACAAACAACACTGGAACGCTGCAGGACAATTATCACACAAGGAGTGTAAAGCCAGATCAGATAAACGTGTCAGAGGTGCCCACAGGGTTGGCTGTAGGTGCAGCAGCTAACTCAGGCATCTTCCAACCCCAGCCTTCCACGGCTGCCTTGCTCAGCAAGGCACACCTGGCCCTGGTGATGCACGTCCTTCCCTGCTGTTCTGCAGCAGCACAGCTTCCAGGATGACACGGAGGATAAGGGAGCACAAAACCCCCCCACATCAGATGGCAGCACTGCAGCCGAGGCAGAGGAATGTCACAGAACACGTGTATGGAGACAGAAAGGCCCCACAGGACAGATCACCACCTGTATGTTCTGCTCGAGTCCATGTAAGCCATCACATCTACAGTGCTTCTAACCCAACTAAAAGCCACAAGGCTTGTATGTCATCACTTGTTTTAATATTGGTTTTCACAACTATGTTCTATACATAACAGTGCACTAAGTGCCAGAAAAAATATTACAGCACAAGGAAAAGAGTCAAATAGGCATCCTATACTTTATATATGTACATATTTATACATATAGGCCATCTCTTCTCTGAAAGCAGCACCCTGAACCAAGTGTTTGACAGCTGGCTTGAATTTCATACATAAAACACTTCTGCTTTGCTCCTAATCCATGATGTCTTCTTTTTGGCATAGAATAAAACCCACAATAAGAAGAGATGCAAACCTTGGGTTTGCTGGTAAAATATCTAATCAATCTAGTCAATCCAGTCAAGTTCTCACATTGTCAAAGAAATACTGGGAGTAGAAACATAATTAGACTTTCCTTAGCACTGCACATGGTTAGCCCTGCACCATCCACACGGTCCGTCCATCTTCCCAGTATGATGACACAGGTACTACTCCAGTCTGATTCCATTACTGGAAATGTGCCTTCTAGCATTTCTGTAACACTTGAATTTAGACTAAAAATTCGGGTACTTAATAATAGTCCACAAAATCCTTACCAAAACATTTCAGTAAGTGAATTGATTGCATTTCAGAAGTTTAATGGATGAAAGTTGCTATGAAGTCAACAGAAAATGCTTATCTCTTGCCTAGGTCTCCAGAAGATACTCTGAATGCAACAGTAGAAATTAACAGTTAAACACCTAATTACAGAAAAAAAAAAAAGGTAAAAAAAAAAAGTCACAGTAACCAACATCCACCACCAACAAAATATCACAGAACCCAAATGAAAAACCCTAAAATACAAAATACAGAACTCAGAGAAAAGTCTAAAATACCCTTATAAAACATCTTGACCTAAAACTTCAAATGAGCGTTTCCAATATTTCCCACTGGAAACCAACAACCACTGCCAAATGCCTTCAAACGAACCTTCAAAGCAGCCACAGTGCACTGCCCACAGCAAACCATCAATAAACACCAACCTGGGGAAGGAAATGAAACTACCAGCCACTGTTTAGATGCACTAAAGAGACTGAAAGTGGGGTGCAGGCAGCAGGGATGAAACGTGCTTTCCAGTGCCTGCTATGGGCTGGGTCAGGCACACTGTCAGCAGCAGAGCAACACTACCAAGGCACAAACAAGACAAGGAGGGTTTAGAAACAGAGCAGACCACCTGCCCTAGCTACCCTGCAGGTTACACCCTGCAAAGTTTCTTTCTGATGGCATTCAAGCAGTTAGAATAATGTATTAATACAGCACAAATTTGATTTGGGAGATATTGTGCAAGTAAACCCGTGTGGTCCCATCATTCTATTCCTAAGGATGCCCTCAAGCACAAACAGAAAAACCACCTTTCTGATAATAAAATGAGAAAGAAAAGGAGGAAAAAAGGTGCATGCATCAGTTTTACATGTTGACCACACTTGAAAAGGTAACAATTTGTGCTAAATCACATAGTAATGTAACTTATGTCTAATAAGAATGAGGCCAGTTGCATCTGTTTTTCCACATCATCTTCCAAAGATAACACAACAAATTAATTGCTTTGCAATATATATATATATACATATATATGGTTCTGTTATATGTAAAATTAATTGCTCTGTCAGTGCCTAACCAGCCATACCTGCTTAGGACACAAAGGCATTTAGTTCTCCAATGAAGGAAAACTCATCCTTTTACAGTCTGATATCCTAAGATTTTAGCACTGAAGACAATTTGGCATGAGGCTCTGTTAATTTAGCTAGGAAACATGATTACAAATCCCCAAGACAAACATTTCATGGCTATCTCATAGCTGACAATCCACTGTGTTACCTGCATAGAAGGTGATGTGCTGTCCTCTCTCACAATAGAGCAGGCACTGAGGGGCAAAACCACCTGTGCTACCACACGTACCAAGGAAGCACATGGTGAACAGCTCAAACCTTGTCATCAAGCTTTGGATTTTCAGTTACAACAGGATTCTTACCCTGCAAGCTTTTACAAAAGCTGCCATGGCTGATAGAGGGCTCAACTATCAGAGCAGCTTAAGCAAACTCACAGGCTGAGTAAACTCAGTGACATTTTTGCATGAAATCTGCATTTGGTGAAACGTGAGATAACAGAAGTCTTAATCTTAGCCAACAAAAAGGAAAAGAAAAATATATTCAAGAAAAGATGCTCTAGTATGGAGCCTTCTGTGATCTGCACAAACAGAGCCATACCGTAACTGAAGAAAATGATGGCCCTAAACTAAGAAGCATTCAGCAAGCTGCGTGGCTACATTCAAATTACTGTCCAGAAAAGCAGTTTTGTTAAATAAAAAACAAAAAAGGTCTTACAAGATGAAGTTTCATCTAGAGATGGCTCACACTAAACCACAGCTATTGCCATTGACACACACCTTTCCATCGCTTCACACAGATCTACAATTTAAGCTGGGTTGTGCTCTCCTCTATGTGCTTCTCTCCAACAAACCTGGTTAATCTTCCTATTTGCTTTTTAATGAGACGTAAGAAAGTAACTGCAGGCACTGAGAAATCTTTGCAAATGTATTTCTTACCAAAAGGAGGTAGTCCATAGGTTTGGGTGGTCTGGGGGTAGATGGTGTAGGGCTGAGATTGCTGTAGTGCTTGGTACTGAGTCTGACCAGGGTAAGGGCTCATTGTTTCGGATACAGGTACAGAAAGGATATGTGCATATGGCCTGATTAAAAGAGGGAAGAAAAATTACACACAAACAAACCAACATAACTTTTCACATATGCAGTTTTCAGCCAGAAGACGCATTATTAAATTGCTTTAGAAAGAAGAAACAATCCTCAATTACTGGGACTGCGAGGGCAGGGGGAGCGGGGCCAAAGGGACTCCATGTTCCAACAGGCATGAGCAGTTAGTTTCACCTATGGTGCCTTACAGCAGCACATCCTAAAGCTAGCAGAATACAGTGGTGTCAGAACTAATGGAACAGACTATACAAAAACAAACACAGGAGATTTAGGCCTCCTGTACCATGCAGTGAGAAAACATTTTATGATGCTCAAATACGGTGATTGGTAACATCTTACACTCCTCTTATACACTTGTTTATCTCTCAAATGCTATTCAACAAGATCACTCCATTGTTAATTAATTGAAGAGGTCTATTTATCCTTGGAATCATTAGATAATGGCCACTGAAGCTGAAGGATGACTTCCATTAGGCTCAGTGTGCACAGCAGTGAGTGCCTGCTGCACAGCAGACAGGGGAGTGTGGTCAGAGTAATTAAAGAAATACATAATGATATGGAAAGATGACTTTGGAAAGGAGCTACTGAATTTTGTAACAGTTGTTCAACTTACTTTGCAGAATACATCTGTGAGGTATAATCATTTGATGACCTTGGGATATAGTCAGTGCATGTCATAACTGGAAAAAGAAAGTTTATATGATTACACAGATTTCTAAAACCAACAACTAACGTCAGTTAATTACCTGCACACTCACATGATTTTCACCAACACAAGAAGGTTTTTTAGTGCCTTGGATATCTGTCTTAAAGTAAATTCTCAAAACCCACAGCATTAAACCACATCAAAAACGTTCTTGCCAATTCACTGCATATAATGCAATGCTTCCATTTTTCTGTTTGAATAAATCCACAGCAATCACACTCTAGAACGGATAAGAGAGAGTCACTCAGGCTGCACAACCTGAGTTCAAACTCATCTCAGACACCTCATGAGATAGGTCCCAATACAGCCCTGGGGTGCTTCAGTTGGTACGACTTAACCCAGCAGCCACTGCAGCATCCAGAATTCAGATGAGCAGACCTGATAAACACTGAGCTGTCCATCAGACCAGGAAAGTGAGAATATGTAGGGCCTCCAGCACAGAACCTGGCACCATACAGGCCCTTGTGGCATGTCAGCCCATAAAATACTATGGTGCAGTGATCTCCAAGCTAAACAGTAAGACTGACAGTAAGTCTGCAGAGTACATGAGTTTAACAGTTCTGACCCACAAGCACCATAGCCAAATTCTTAGCAAACACAGCTGTGCTGCTTATGGATCCATGTAACTTATATAATTTGCAAATGGCTTAGTCAGATAGGCAGCAGATTTGCAGGCTAAAATTCCTGGTAACTTCTTCAACTGCATTGCAGCACACTGATTAAAATAGCAGATATGCAATCAGTTAGCAATGGGAAGTTGTATGGTATATATTTTTAATCAGGTTGAACTGATTTACAGTTATAATTAACTGCAGACAGTCAGAAATATTCTGCACAGGACTCTTACTTCCATAATAACCTCCAGCCCTGCTTTTCCAGTGAGAACAGATTCCACCTCTCACTTACTATGCAATATTTTTAATTTTCTGCCTCAGTTCCCTCCCAAAGCACTTTGTAAGTAATTTCTGCAAACATTATATATAGTTCAGTCTAAAATTAAACATACAGTGTATTATTAGAAAAGACCCAACCAGCTGTGTAGAGATGATGATAAAACTGAAATCTTTCTAACAGGCATCATTATTAATTCAACCCTTCCCCAAAGGAAAATAACAGACAGGTAAGACACAGCAGTAACCAACTGCAAGTTTGGGGACAGTAATGGAAAAGTAGATAGGAAATGGTGTTTGCTTACCATCACACATGCAGGCATTAATGCTTTGTAAGCACCACAGCAAACCTTCACCTTACAAATGATAGCATGGACAAATTTTAAAGAGGGGATGAAGTCTGTACTTCAATGATGAAACACAAAAGTGATGAGATCAGCAGCAGACATGAGGAGAGCAGACACTCTGGGAGCAGAAGGATTCTGAAAGATACTTACTCTCAGTTGACATGGAAAGGTTTGAACCAAGGCTTGAAGATTCAGGTTTCTGATCGCTGACTTCGGTGTTGCTCACATGACTGCTAGAACAAACAAACCTAAACATCAGCGCTGTGAACCTCTGCATTAACATCCTTTGTTATCTTAACCCCCACTTCAGCCTTCTGCACTGAGAGAAACTGACTTTTAACAAAAACTAGCTCTGCACACTTTAATATGTCACACAGAGAACCTAAGAGAGAGATCTGCGGCTCTGATTAGACATGAAACTGCTATTCAGCATGTTAACTCACCAGCTCATCTCTCCATATGAAGCTGCAGCCCAGCAGCAGACCTAGCAGCTTGGCACTGCCATCTGCAGTGTGAAGCACAAATTTCTTTCCTCCCACCTGGACATGGCCTCCTGCTTCTCTGCAGCACCTCAGACACCCACCAGGCTCTTCCATGGAAGTTTAATTTGCTGAATGAGCAGAAAAAATTGTGGGGGTGCTTTTGCTTCATTCACCCACCCCAGGGAGTGACCTCCACCTGCCCTGCTCCTTGCATGCGGCTTTCAGGTGAAACCCTGGGGCCAGGAAGGCAGTGCTGGGCAGAGTGTGGGGATGGAAGAGCTGAGCAGTGAGTGCTGTGGATTTGGTCTCATGCATGTCGTTTTCCTTCCTATGGCTGGGGAAAAGGAATGAAGTTTGCTCAAAATGCATGAACTGGTGTTTCTCCCCTCTGAAAACATTCATAATCAGACTCTGTGAAAACCTTTTTTCAATGCTAGTAGCTGAACAGACTTCATTTTGAGTTTTGCAATTAAAAAACCTCACATTTCAGTAAAGACTCAGAGCATTCATCTACTGCATTTCTTGTGGGAAAAAAGTCCTGTGATTCCGTGACCCAGTTAACCTGTGGCTGTCAAATTCCGTACAGCTTGCAAATAGGCTGAGAGCTGCACAGCTACTTCTACTTATCACTTGTTGTGGAAAACGTGACAGCAGATAAAATTCCTGGTTATACTCTATCAGCCCTTGTTTCTTCTAGCTTTCTCAGTGTTACTCCTCAACGCACACACCTGTGCTTTGGTACAAATTCATCCCAAGCACTCTTGTTCTCCATCACTTACCACCTACGAGAGCAGAGGCACCCCTAGGCTGGGCTCCTCTCACCTTACGCTGGCTGGAAATGCAGCTTCCAGCAGTTTCTAACATTCAGGTGGTGAATTTCACACTGCTCACTGCTTCTTGTCAAAGCATTCCCTTCATTATTCTTCGTTTAATAATCACGTAACTACTAATGTAATTCAGGGCTTCCATTACATGAATGCATGAATGGCACACTGTGCTTACTCCTCACTCACACTGAGATGTCAGAGGATCCAAAAAGAAATCTTTATTTAGTTTTTGCTGTTACTCACAAGACAAGAATAAATCCAAATACAGACATCCTCTCTACATGAAATCGCAGTGATTAGCTCCTAAACCAAACACACATCAGACAGCCTCTACTGAGCACAACTAGTACAACACAGCAGCTTTAAGCAAAAGCAGCTATCAGACTGAGAGCTCTCTACTTCTCAAAACAGTCACCTGCATAGTTTATCTGAGAATCATAGCAGAGAGATTACTAAAATATTCTGAGTCTCATCAGAATGCACGTTACGTGCAGAACGTGACAGCCTCATAAGATTCTGAGGAAAAAGATGATGCTTGATGATGTAATCAAAACTCTACTTTTTATAATGGCTTAATACCAAAGGGTTGCTTAATTTATTTCTTTTATAGCCAACACAAATCTGGGTTATATTTGCCCCATCTCTCTGACAAATACAGCAATACGCAGGCTGCTAAAACGGGAGCTTATATTGACATGAGAGCAGCAGTAATTGCTCCACACTAAGATAAAATTCAAAGTGACATACCTTAAGCTTTGCTCTCGGGATTCCTGCATCTTGGCTTTTTTCACCTGCAAAGACAGAAATGTTCAGAGGCACAACTAAAAGAGCTGTCCTTGGCAGAATCCACACACACCTCCAGCAGCACATCACCAGTGGTTACTATAGAGTTTGCACGAGCGCTGAAAAGAAAGCCTGGCATTGAACTGCACAGCTAACCAGTGTAACCATGGGCTCTTCAACTCAAAACAAGTCTTAATTAGAAAAAATGTTTGAAAGGGGATAGGAAAGAAAGGGGAAAGGGTGGAAAACAGCTTCTGAGCCTCAGGTCAGAAGCGCAGTTGTACTTTTATAGTCAGGATCAAAGCAGAAGCACCATTTTCTTCATGCTGTCATGGCAGCAGTTGCACTGTGACAGAATTCCACACTTAGACTGATATTCACAGACAAATTTCTGAGTGAAAAGCACACCCACCAACCAAGCAGATGATGAGCTGCTGAAGCAAACACGACCAAAGCAATGGCAGCATTGTTGCCTGCAGCAGTGCTGTGAAGAGAGGACTGTACACCAGTCAGGAATGTGGAGTTTAACTGCCATCCCTGTGGTAATTTGAGTTGGGAAAAACCTTCAGTCCAAACACCTGACAGCCATTTGTCCCCTGTCCTTTTGGCAATGCTGGGTCTCCCTGGGGCCCTTCCCACCTCTGGGTTCTCCCCATCATTTGCCCCATATGAGAACTCATTCCAAACAGAAATCAACTCTGTGGGTGTCTGCAATGCATGTAATACAAGCTCACCAGCCCTTACAAAAAGACTTCTGTCATTTTCTGGCAATCAGGATTAAAGTAAGCATTGCATCAAATGAGAGATTACTACAAGAGATCACTTCTAAAAGCTAAATAATAGCACTTTTTAAACTTTTTTGTCATACAAAAGGTCACTTTTGGTCACTTTTCTCCAAACCTTCCTTTGCTCTCTTACTTCCCATGTCTGTTTCAATACACTGAGTCTTACACATACTTTTCCACTTTAAATTGAGATTTGAAAGGGGAAAAAACATCCAAAAACAAGGACAAAAGTCTCGCCTGTTTAGCATCCCTGCAGCACTATGTGCACTAAATGGAGGGAGTAAATTGCATTTAATTCCAAGTCTGATGACTTCCCTACAGGCTCCCTTCCAGACTCAGTCATCAACAGTTTGCAAGGACCATTATTGGGAAAAGAAAAATCATTTGAGAAAGAAAGCAAGTTTGTGCAGTATCAACTCTGGGTTTCAAAGCTGAAAAGATGATACCACATCATACAGCTGTGATCAGTACAGTCTCAAATCCTGTCTCAGAATGACTGAGCAGCAAAAGGTACCTACCTGAAATTAGCAAGAAAACCTTCAGCAGACAATTCAAGTGTCTGCTTAAGGGTAATGCTCTCATGTGCCAAAAGCAAGCTGTGCTCCATCTCTTATACTCCAAATAATAAAGGTTTATAAAGACAATTCTGGTTATGTAAAGACGTAATAACAGGTATTTCCTTTTTTAATTTAAATCCTGCAGACATTTAGACTTCAAATTGGAAGTTGCTGCTGATTAGCCTCACGTTTTGTGCACAGACACTCGGAATAATTTGCATGCTGTGTCAAGCAGTGTAACTTTAATAATTTACCTTCACGTCATACCACAGTAATCACCATCCCAAACAAAACTTATTGGATGTTATAAAATCAGCATTTTTTAATGTGGACAGCGTTGCAAATATCTAAGAAGTCCAGACAGCAATTCCTACCTTAAGATATACCTCCCTCCGTCAATGCCCTGTTCAATTAAGGACTTTAAATACTGTTCTCCAGCAGTAGATACGATGGCACGCTTAGGGTCGTGGAACCTTTCCAAGACCTTAAGCACAAGAAGTATTACAGACTATTTAGGTGGTAACAGCCAGCACGTGGATTCTGTCATTAAAACAGTGATTCTGAATTTCTTCTAGGATTATAAATGGTCTGGCTTTTCAGCAAAACAGATAATTTTACATAGAAACACTACAGGGTTTAGGCACACATTCCTTTTATTACTGTTTTACTAACGGACAGCCTTACTGTCCATTATTAAATAAAATAACTGCATACTGAATTTGTGAGATCACTGATTGCTTTTACATGCTCATCTTCAGTATGATTTAAATGTACTTACTGGTTGCTCGGGTAAATCTTGTGGCTCTTCCATGGGTATTACTATTTTAATGCTTGAATGATTCAAATCGTGTCCTCCTCAGCAGTCTTCAAAGCCTGTCAAGAAAAGGTGTTCATAGCTTTATGTACTTTTGGGGGGTCTTATCATTTAGGCTATCAGAGAATGATAATTGTTATATATTCCACCCACAAGCTTTCTAAACTCGTGTTGCCGTCTCCCAACTAAGAGACAAAATTCATATACGGAAAGATTTCATAAACAAGGGATTTAGCTTTAAGCTTCAACCTGCAGACATTTTTCATCACGTGGCACATTTCTACATCACTTGCTTGTACCATACTGACCACAGAAGCTAACGTGTCAATCAGACACGTGCACCATGATTTTAAAGACACTTTAAATGATCGAGACTGGTCTACTAGGTCAGTAAACAGAGTGATTCAATCTAACCTGTTTTAATTTAGAACATTTATATAACGAACACACACACACCAAAAAAAAAAGAAAATCAGGACAAGAGCGTACACCTAAATGTATTTACACACAGCACTGCTTATTGTCAGCTTCACAAAGAAAGCTCATTATTCCAACTGCACCCCTCAAAAAAGACGTGTTTGATGAGCATGTGGTTCCAAAAAGTAACAGTAACCCAGTCACATTTAGCACAGAGTTCCTATATACTGCACCAAAAAGTTGCTGTAAGCAAGGTTTTATATCCAAGAAAATACAATTTTGCAGGTTGCTGTCATCACTTTATTAACTTTTTGCTACCTGCAGGACAACAGATGAAGGCATGCATCCTCCCCAGCTCTGCCAGACCAGCTCACTGACCAGCTGACCATATTTTGTCTTCTGGGATTTTGGTTATCTGTTCCTAAGGATGCCATCTTCCCAGAGCCCAGCACAGCTGTCCCTCCACAGGCATTATGTGTGTTATGGCACACACAGCAACTCCTGCATGGGTTACAGCAGTTAGAGGAAAAGCAGAAAAACCCTCAGTGGTTCAGAGGAAATAATCAAATACAGCAACAGCACCTGTAATTCCTCTGCTGAGTTACAATCTATTCCTGCCTCCAGAGCCACAGAAACGTTGCCATGTACCTCAGTGGGAACACGGAAGGCAGTAATAAATCCCTATTATCCATGGAAACACAATGCATTTCTTTTCCCTTACAAAAGGAAAGGTAAAAGATCTTAAATGCCAGGTAAAACTGCACTGAGAGTTTGAGTATTTTCCAAGGCCATCTGCCATAATTAAGGGTTACTTATAATTATCTTCACTGCCTTAACTGGGAAACAACTGAATTTGCACCAAAGCATTTCAGTAACTCCATATCTTCTCCTACAACACCATATACTTACAAGAAAGTATGCAAAACAAAGGGATACTGTCACCATTCCAATTTTCACCCTCAGTTTTAACTGTTAACTATTTGAAATACAAAAACCCATTTCCTTCTACTTTATTTCTTTTTAATAGAGATAATACAGAAAACACATTCAAAAGTTATAACTACAAGTGTGGAATACAAATGCCAACAGCAACGATGTTTGAATTTGGTATCACATGAGCCTGGTCCTGTCCCCTGTCCTTTGATTTTACAGTTTCATTGCATACTTTCTTATAAAACCCCAAAACTGAACTCTTCAGTATGGAAAAAGAATCACTGCCACACTGTCTTCTAGAGAATCTACAGCTCCAGAAACAGCAGGTGGGGCAGAGGATCTCCCAGTGTTTTCGCAGAGAAGCAGGCAGAACAACCAGAAGAAGCAGAGTGCATTTCTGGATGACAGAGATGTGCTTAAGCAGCACACCTGGACAGGGCTGTACTTCAGTAAAGGTTTCCTATGCCACAGTTTCAGCTGGAGCTGCTGAGGAAGGAAAAGCTCCTGCTCCTCCCTTATCTCCAGCAATCCACTCTTGCTCGCATGATGCCCTTCCTTTGTGCCTGGCTGCCACAGGCTGGATTTGATCTTGTACTATAGAAAAAAAACCAATAAAACACAAAAAAACAGGCAAGTGAACAGAAGTGGGAACACAGGATGTCCTTTCCCATTAACAGTCACTGGAACATTATGGCTTCGTTTACTCTTTTACTTATTTTTCACATTGCCAAAACCACGGACACACACTCAGCCATGGCACTTGTGTGACTCAGTGGCCTTTCAGCCCGGATCACCTACCTTGCATGGGTGCAGAGAGCTGCTGTGCCCTCAGCTCATCCACCACCGCCTCCATGAGCACCCAGGGACACGGGGCGGGGGAGGCAGGAAGGGAAAAACCCCACTCCATGCTTGGCTCACACTGCAGGGAGGCAGAGCAGAGCAGCTGCCAGCTACAGCTGCACCTGGCAGCCGGCAGGGCTGAATCCTTCTCATCCCCAGCAGCCTGCTATGGACACAGCACCACTGAGCACTGCCAGCCTCCAACCTGGGTGCAGTACTTGGCTTTCCAAAAAAGCAACCCCCATCTTGCACCTGCTCAGCTTAAACTTGGTGGATTATCTGCCTTGGAAAACAGCTGATTATTAAAAGTTCAAGGCCAACAGCTGTTTTTTGGTAGTTGTTTTTTGTTTTTTTTTTTCCATTATCCCAAACTTCAGCATTAGATTTTTAACTTATATAAAACTCAAGGCAGCCTGTGCTTTAGATAAGCTTACCACACGGTTTCTATTATCAAATATTTTTAAACCATAGGCAACCACAACAGAAAAGATACAAAGCAGATCTGCAATAGCTTTGGTACCCATCTTGTGGCAGTTGTGCCAAGACCAGAGGTGACCACATCATCGCCATGCAAGAAACACCAACTGCCATCAGTCCTCCTCCCATTCCCACTGCAAAACCACAGCTTCCCAACTGCTTGCTATCCTCAGAAAAGAAACTGGAGATCAACAGTTTTGGGAGCAGCTGGGTTTGGCCATTTTTCCTGTCTATATTTTGATTCTACATTTTGGGAGAGGGAGGTCTGGGAAGTTCATTGACTTATAAAATGGTCTGGGTTGAAAAGGACCACAATGTTCATCTAATTTCACCCCCCTGCTATGTGCACAGTCGCCAACCAGCAGCCCAGGCTGCCCAGAGCCACATCCAGCCTGGCCTTGAATGCCTGCAGGGATGCGGCATCCACAGCCTCCTTGGGCAACCTGTTCCAGTGCCTCACCACCCTCTGGGGGAAAAACTTCCTCCTAATATCCAACCTAAACCTCCCCTGTCTCAGTTTAAAACCTTTCCCCCTTGTCCTATCACTGTCCACCCTCGTAAGCAGCCATTCCCCCTCCTGTTTATACGCTCCTTTCAAATATTGGAAGGTCACAAGGTCTCCCCGCAGCCTTGTCTTCTCCAAGCTAAACAAGCCCAGTTCCCTCAACCTTTCCTCACAGGAGAGCTGCTCCAGCCCTCTGCTCATCTCAGTGCCTCCTCTGGACCCACTCAAAGAGCTCCACGTCCTTCCTGTGCAGGAGACCCCAGGCCTGGACGCAGCGCTGCAGATGGGGCCTCACAAGAGCCGAGCAGAGGGGGACGATCACCTCCCTCTCCTGCTGGCCGCCCCTTTTTCATGCAGCCCAGCACACAGCTGGCCTTCTGTGCTGCAAGCACACTGCTGCTCGTGTCCAGCTGCTGGTTCTGATGGTCAGAATCCTTCCATGGGGCACTGGGGTTATGAATGAAAAGGCTTCGACAAAACACAACCAGGCATGCCATGAGTTAACACATCAGCACAGTGAAAGAAACATCCTGAAAAATGAAGAAGTCAAGACTGCCAAAAAGCTGCAAACATACACTTCCTTCCTATGTAGGATGCTTTTCATTATTTACCTGTAATATCTGAACTAAACAACAGTTTTCAATTTAAATTGGATCTGTTGAATAGCCAAGCCAGCTAAATCCCCACTTGCCCAGCACACCAGCGATGTGCAATAGCCAGGAGAGGCATTTTGCACATCAGGTCATTTTGCATGCTCAATTTACTGAAACATATTACATAAATTTCAAAACAAGGCATTAATGCATGGGTATGGATTAGAGAATTACACAAATTAGTCATTGCTTTCTGTTCTACATAATGTCACAGTGCTAATCCCTACTGAAAAAGCCCAGGTAGTTTCTCGTAATAAACCCTATTTTTAAAATCCCCAAATGCAAAGTCTATATTGATCAAATTCTTTCAACCTGACATTATGGATGTAATTTCCAAAAGCTATCAGCTACTAGCTGGACTGCTATTTACTTTAATTTTGTTCATTTCAAGGCCATCTGCTTTGGCTTCATATAAAGGAACAGTTCTCCTCTCAAGCTGCAGATAATTAAAGTCAAGGATAATGTGATAAAACCAACAAGCTGTAATTATACTGATTAGAAAGAAAAAAAAGCTGCTTGAACACGGTTTTGTTTTACTTCAAAACAGCCACTACTTCCTTTAGAAAAAACATCCAAGTTGACCTAATGAAATTAAAACTATTATATAGAAATTGGAACAGAATGCTTTGTTGTGATATGTGTAACAATGGGACCAATGCTGTTATTTCCATTCCTCATTTACTCAAAGGCCAGAAGCTTACCACGAAGAGAAGTGAATCTATGAATTAAGCAACAGAAGAGTCTGAGCTTCTTATTTTTTCCAGTGGAGCACGACTCTGCACAGAACTTCCCTGTTCCACAGGAATGTTTCTTCACTATTTTCTCCTTCCTCATATTCCAGCATCCCCAAACCCGACTGTGACACTATTTCATCAGTCAAGCTGTCAAAACACTTTTAACTTGATGTCCCAAATAGCCAAACTTGCATTCACCCTGTACCAGGACAGCAAACCCAGCTCTTTTCCTAAGAGCTCCCATAAGAGTAGGAAGAACAGGCACTCATCACAGCTTGTGCAGAATCTCCTGTTTTGTTCTTGATTAAAGACCACAGGAATGACAGCACCAGGCTGGCTGCTGGGTTGGGTGGTACAATGAGATGGCTCCTTTGGGAACAGTCAGGAACTGAACTATTTACAATCCTGTGCTGTTTGTCCTTCCTTTAGGCAAGAAGATAAAAATGCTTTATAACACTGTACCTTCACAACAACACAAACCAAGAGAATGAGGAAACAGATGCCTTGACCCTGAAAACAGTCTGTCTGCTGAGTCTGACTACAAACTCAAAACACTTCAAAGAGGCTGAGAAGGAAAGGTGTGTAACACAACAGTGCAGCTGCAGCGCCATGCAAGGACAGACAGCCAGGAGCAGGAGCCCAGCTTTCCTCCCCCACTAAGAAACAAAGCTTTCACAAGTAGTCCTACCAATAATACCATGAATGATCTACTTCACACGATGTTCACAAGTTAATTCACAAATCACAGAATTGCTCAGGTTGGAAAAGACCTTCAAGATCATCAAGTCCAACCTCAACCTAACCATACTACCCTGACAACCCACTGCTAAATCACATCCCTGAGCACCACAACCAGAGGGTAACACCACAGCCAGATGTGACACACTAAGGCTGAGCGTTTGGTGTCGGACAGTCTGGAAAACACAGATGCAGTAAGAGGGAAAAGGAAGTGAGATTTCTAACTCCAAAACGTGAGAGCCCCAACTCCTTCTGACTAACACTGCCAGCATCCATTTCCTCAGGCTGCAGTCTTTGCTCTCCAGAACTAAAACTCTCCCCAGAATCCACCTGTAAGGCAGTTCACAATACGTCAAGCTTTGGTCTGTTAAGTTTTAAGTACAGTCCTCCAGTACATCCTTTTTTTTTTTTTTTTTTGCCACAGCAGGGAGCAGCCTTTAGAAAAAATGGAGCAGAGCTGATGAATGAAAACGGTGCCACACAGCAGCCTGCAGATCTCTTATCTCTCACAGCTCAGCAAATCTCATGGCAGATTTCTGCTTGACTGTTCTTTGCTTTTCCTCCATCTCCACACACACACACACACCCACACACAACACGGGCTGCCCAAATATTGTGACAAACACCAGAGAACAAACCTTTGCTGTGAGATCTGCTGGATTGCTTGCTGCTCTCTACGCTCGATCTCTCTCTCCGTCTTTATTAACTGGGGAAGACTCGGAATAAAAACCTGCAAAAGTTATAGGGAAGGCAGATTACGTGTCTCATCTGTGAGAGTGGCCACAACAAGCATGTAAACACAGTCCTGGAGGACTTCAGGTTCACGTTTGATCAAAATTTCATAATCTAAAAGTGAGGGGTGGGGGAGGACAGCGTGGTATATAAAGATGGAGGAATTCAATGCTGTAATACATATTTAGCCTGAGCACTGCTCACTTCACTAGCAGGAACTTTCATGTCCTTTCTCTCAAATCCCTGTAGCATTACTGATGTTAAGGCTGTCTGCAGTGCCATGCACACAGCCCGCCTGCCCTGCTCTTACACAACTCTCTTCAATTTGATTTTGAAACCCAACAGGGAAATTTTTAAATGGAGAAATGCACTGTGTTGGTTTGTTCTTTTTCCCCACACAAAGAAAATCTGGAAATAACAGCTTCATCTTTGAGCAAAACAGCTCCCAATGAGCCCAGAAACCCAGACACAGGGCAATGATTACTTCTAGATGGATGTAACACACAGCTCACCCAGCTGAAGTGTCCTGCACCAGCTTTTCCTTACAAAGCACAGCACAATGACTTAAACACACATAAGGAAAGTAACAAAGCCAATTCACTGCTCTTTTCATAAGAATTCACCACGACTGAACAGGCTGCTCTTCTAAAACAGCTCGCACACATTTTTGTGGTTTAGGAAACTTCAGGAGCTGCAGCCCTGAAGAAAAAAAAAAAAAAGGCATCAAAAATGATGTTTGACTGAAGAGCTTGTTTTAAAAACAAACTTCCAAACAATAGAGCGTATTGTCTCCCATTTCCAGACACTACTTTCAACTCATTAAAATAGGTTTGGAAATTTCCTGAACATTTACCCACAAGAGATTGAAGTTTTAAATCACTCAGAAAAAGAACCCAGCATCGTATCAACTGTGGAAAAAAAGGAATTATTGATGTTATGCAGCTGTAAACCTTATTTTCACTGAGAAATTTCACTAACACAGCCACCATCACACTGCCAGGAAACCAAGCTACAGTTCTGACAGAGAGAAACTCAGCTGTCACCATAACTATACTTAAAAGGTGGCACTGCAGTGAATTTACATATTTCTCATTATTTTGCAAGAGAAGCAGCCATGGCATTTATCACCATGCAGTCAGTCCTGAGGACATCTGTAGCTATTTGTCTCTTAGCAACAAGAGTTGCTGGAATAACCTGCTCAAAAAAAAAAAAAAAATCATTAAGGAAAGAATGAAGTACTGCATATTTGAGATTTTTTACTCAGGAAAAAGTTTAAACGACTGTTCAATGCTCAGCAACTGATGCTGCTTCTAATTCAGCACACTCAATATACCATTCCCTCCCATGGTATTGGTGCTGCTGGCAGAGGCAGAGCTGTGGGACTCCTGTGCTCAAAGGACCGTGGAGGAGACAGCCCTGCCTTGTCCTCTATCTCCAACACTGATGTGTTTCCCATGAAGCACAGAATGTTTGGGTTGGAGGTGAACTCAGAGCCCACCCAGCCCTAACCCCTGCTGTGGGCCGGGTGCCCCCCACGAGGTTGGGCTGCCCAGGGCCCATCCATGGCTTCAGGCACCTCCAGGGATGGGGCACCCACAGCTCTGTGTTAGCTGCTGAGCAGGGCTGGTGATGGAGCAGTGAAGGCCACAGGTAAAGCTGAGACACTTCAATGTCTTTCTTACTTCAGACTTTACTGTCAAGGCCTGCTCTCAGGTCTTCCAAGTCCTTGTGCTCAGTGGCAAGGCTGGAGGAGGAGAGCATCTGTACAGACAGCACAGCTGGTGACCCTGGAGCCAGTTCTCTCAGGAAGCTCTGCTGGAGGCTGCAGCAAAGGTCGTTGCTTCCCACTTAGGGAGTGAATGTGAGCCAAGGCTCGTACCTTGGGTGCCCACCTGAGCACCAGTGCAGCTGAGCTGTGGGCTGTGCCTGGACAGGCACCTGTCACCAACCCACAACCTGATGTCCCAGGCAGCCACAAAGCAGAGCTGACAGCACAGGGCCACCTGGCACAGGCTGCTGCTTGGCCGTGGCTGCTGTTTCCAAACCTGAGCCTGAGACTGATGTGATTTCTCAGCCTGACCTCAAGTCTGCCCTTCTGTGGACCGCTCTGCAGACCTCTCGCCTTCATCCAGCTTGTCACCACTTGGGTGTTGAGGGAGGTACCCTTGCTGTTCTGCCTTGCTGTCACACTCAGCACTCCTTTCCCAGGGGTTAACATGTCCCTGCTGCTCCCCGACATGATCAGTGGTACAAAAATATTAGGTTAGAGCATGCCATAAAAAAAGCCTGCATCTGTACGTGTCTATAAGACCAAACAAATGGAAGGAGGAGGTGGCCGATGTCATGGCAGGGGTTAAGGGTGCTCTTAACTTTTGAAAGGTCACATCAATACAGGGGGATCACTGATGACTGAAAAAGAGCAAACGTTGCCTTCAAAACAAGCAATAAGGGAAATACAGGCCACTCAGAGTTGCCTTAATGGGTCAGAGGACTGCAGGGCAAATCTAGATGGAGACCATTCCCACAGCTTGAAGAGCAAGAAAGTGGCTGGGAATAGACAGAACGGGTTCACCAAAAGCAAATGCTTCCTGACCAACCTGAGTGCCATTCCTGATGAGAGGCAGATTGACTCTGTGGAAGAAGAAAGCTGTAAATATTCTGTAACTTGATTTTAGTAATGCAAAGTCACCCTGCAAACAAACAGGGAGGTAAAACTATGAACAGATGGATAAAAAACTCTCCGGACTGTCAAGTTCACAGTACAGCAATTAGGGTCTACAATCTAACTGCTGGTTAAAGCAACCTACAAGAACAGTTACATGAAGCAACATGAGCATTTTGATCATGAGCAAGGTTATGGGACAGAATGCTGTTTCACCCTGTCTGTGGATGACAACAAGCTGAAGCTCAAATGCCTGAAAAGCCAAAACTGCAAGAACTGTGACATGCTGCAAGTGTGGGCTGGCAGAAACCCTGCAACATTCAACACAGACAAGTACAGTGTGCTGAACCAGGGATGCAGTAACCCCAAGCAGCAGGGCTGGGATCCAACTGGAAGGTCACAGATAAGCAGAAAAGGAACTGGAGATCCCAGTGGACAAAAAGTTGAACAAGAGTCAGCTGCAAGCCCTAGCATCAATGAAAGCTACCTTCACTGCTTCAGGCATCATGTGAAACAGGTCCTTTAACCTTCTGGTATGTTGCTTGACTCCATGAGGAAACAGACAAGATCATGAAGATGTCTTCAATTACTGTGAATACACTTTCCTTCAGATCTTATTGTTGAGAATTAATTCCTATCCAGACAACAAATAAATCCTAGCAAAAACAGTGCTGCGTGTTCTGAAGTTTCTGACTATTGTAGGCTTATATCTGGACTGCAAAATGAACATGGACAAATTAAGCACTAGGTTTTTGTTTTACTGATACACTTACAACTAGCTGAGTCACAGCAAGTGGCAGCACGTATTTGATATCTAACTCACACCAGTAGCAAAGTGAACCCCATTACACAAACTACCACAGAGGTTATAAAAAACTGTTTAGCCTTACACTCTGTTAAGCTGCAATCAGATTTCCTTAACAGCTGGGCTGGGCACAACCCCTTGCTGCAGCTCAGCATGCTGTTAGCTGCGTCACTGCGACTGCACGCCCACTCCCAGCTGTGACTAACAGCACTGGAGTTCTGGCAGAACCACCAACACCCTCAGCCTGCTCACCTGCTCCTTTTCTTCTGCAAGCAATAGAATCACCAAATGGTTGGGAACCTTCAAGTCCCCCAACCTCTGCCACAGGCTTGTTGACCCTCCAGGTCGGATATCTTCTTACTCACCTAATGCAACAGATAGCCTTTAAGAAACAACAGCCCACGCTGTTTTCTGCTGCCTTTAACTCCAGAAGCTGTATCATTGACTTATCTGGGCTTCTTGGCTTCCTTTGGGCCAGATAAGTGTAAGCACTTTTCATTTCCTGGCTTAAAAAGTATCTTTTTTTCTATTCATATCTAAAAATGCCAACCCAGCAGCAGGCTTGGCATGGCAGAGAGAAAGAATGGGTTCAATGGAAAAAGAAAATGTTTGTGTGAGCATAGCTCTCCAGAGCACTGGGAAGGTAACGAAGAGAAGAAGTATTTCTTATTACCTTTGAGCCCCTTTATCATCCCAAAGGTGAACTTCTCTCCCTGAGCCCCAAAAGTTTTGGGTGGACTGAAAACAAAGGTTTAACACACAGAAAAACCAAGGCAATGGCGTCTGAAGTTTCATGAACTCTTACAGTGGCACTGAACAAAATTAATGCAAATGAGACCAGACTTCTGTGCAAAATTCTAAAACCTTGAATTCAACACAATTGTTTTCTCTGACAGTGTTTTCCTTAATTCATATACGAGAAAAATTATGTTTTTACCAGGAAAGAAGCGTGGGGAAACTTCTTCTAGTCAACCTATGGCTAAACCTATTTCAGAATAACGCCACGCAGTTCTGAAAAGAGCTGACACTCATTTTCCTCTGTTATGAAAAGTAATTAATCATCTGCTTTTCCAAATGACACTCATACTAATATGCAGTATTCTTTGTTCTTCCCAAATCACTTGTAATTAAGGAAGAATTTCTTATGCTTTCCCAAATACAGAAGGGCAACTAAAACCATCATGGAAAAAAAATTAGCAAAAGGCTGTTCTGTAAAATCTCCAAAAGGAAGCTCTTGGGATGGGAGAACAGCCTTCTAAATCGGTCTGAACTTCAGGACAGATCATCTGCTGCAGAACTGAGCTACCATTTGATTGCCTCTGAAATTGGATGACCCACATTCTTAATTCCAAAGTTTATCTAAGAGATTAAAAAAGATCCCAGAATGATTCCACGCACTGAAGAACCAGCAAAGGCATGCTGTGCTTTCTTCCCACAGCACTATTCTCAACACCAGGTTTGGTAACACGTTAGGAAGGAATGTGACTCCATGCAGCACCACCTGAACTGAAGCTCCAGATGCAGCTGTAAGATGGAAGAAAAAATTGAAGTTACTCCCTCGGGTGCCAGAGAACCTTCAGCCACAACACCCACCTGAACTGCGCCTTGATCACTGCTAGAGAGGAGCCACCAGGGAGGACGGTGCTGAGGAGCAGCTTGTTTTGCTGCCCTTTAACAAATTAAAAACCTCTGGACAAATTAGGACGAAAGAAAAAAAAAGGAATAAATTAAAGACAAGGGAAAGCAAGGAAAAGCTGAAAAATGCCTCCTTCAACTCAGAACTAACCAGTGTGCACTGCTGGTTCAGGTGATCAAAGAAAACCAGCTGCTGCTAGAGACAGCAATGCCTGGAGGCGGGTTGCTTTAAGCACTGCTGGCTGTGGGACCATACAGAAAATATCAAATCCTCAGTTCCCTTCAGGCCCTCAGAAATTTCCCCTGCGCCTCCATCCTGACAGGCCCTTGTCCATTTGCAGGGCAGAAATTTTAAATATTCCTATTTCTGACAAATAAGAACAGTGGCACTGTGTTACTCGTGTCCATCCTCAAATAACAACTGCTGTAAATCTAGAACCTTGATGCATAATGTGACTCACACAAAAAACTTTTGGGTTCTTCATTCACTTAAAAACCACAACAGTATGTGTACCATTTATAGCTGTCCTTCAGTACATGGAAGCTAGGACACACTACACTTAATTTGCTGGAGAGATACTCCAGCTCCTTAACACATGGAAGCCCTTTTAATAAAGCAGAGACATAATCAATTCAAAACCTACCCCAACATCTCAACTTCTACCAGGCAGAACTTTGAGAAGCTATAAATCCTTCAGAAGTCAGTAATTACTTGGGAATTATTACAAAGTTGCACACATCTGTGATAGGGAAGTGACAGTTTTGCAATTGTCTGTCCCATAAACCAACAACACACAGTTACCAAGGTGCCACAACTGCCACTGACGTTGCATGGGAGAGCTGAGATACAGGCAAAAGGCACAGAAGGACACCGTGCACTACTTCCAGTGGCCTGTGCACTGCTAGACCTTCACCTCAGCTCCCTTTTGAAGGTTACAAGTGAGAATGCAGCTGCCTAAAGTTGGCTGCGTGGTAAAAACTGGACTGCAGAACTGCATGAGCACAAATAACACCTGGAGATTATGTAAAAAATCACAAAGGTTAATAGGTACACAGTTAGGTATGTCGGCCCGTAGCTTTGCAAACTGAGCAAATTAAATAATCTTTATGCATTTTTTAAGCTGTCAATTATGGAAAAAGTGACTTGAGGCATGCAAATTGCTGTGATTCTAAACAAAAGCCTATCCCATTTGGTACAATGAATTCAGGATAATCTGCAAAAAGTCATGGAACCAAATAACCAAGGCAGATGACAACTGTACAAATCTTATCCTAATAGCAAATATGATTGAGTTTTAATTGCGGGCTGGAAGTTACCAGGCTACAGACTAAGTGCATCACAAGAACAGAAGTAGAGCTCACTCCATACAGAAAAAGAGGCCTGGTATGACGATCCATCTGACCTGCTATAGATACTCCACATCAAGGACTAACTTCAGTTGGAAGCAATTTAGCCTCACCATGCAGAAGCCAAATAAGGCACTCTACTGCAGGGCTGGCTCCACATAAAGCTTCAGCAATTCTGCACAGCAAGCATTAGAACACACTGCCCAGAGAAGTGGTGGATGCCCCATCCCCAGAGGTATTCAAGGTTAGACTGGATGGGGCTCTGAGCAACCTGATCGAGCTGTAAATGTCCCTGTGCACCACAGGGGAGTTGAAGTAGGTGATGACCTTTAAAGAGCCCATCCAACTCAAACTATTCTATGATTCTACAAACCAGGAACATCAAGAAGCACAGATCTGAGTCCAACGCAGCTATGAAGCCTTGCTGATCACGGCACTGCCAAACCCAAACACATCCTCTTGGATGCATCTACACAAGCTCTGGTGCGAGCCCATACCAAACCCATCCAGACAAAAATGTGCAGGTATGTTTACAGATAATAAGAATGCACCCAGACAGTGCCAACAAAGCTGGTAACAGGGCTGAAGAGGTGACCTACGAGAGGCTGAGAACACTTGGGTTGTGCAGTGTGGAGGAGACGAGGCCAAGAGATGGCCTCAATGGTCCCTGCAGCTTCCTGGGGAGAGGAGGTACTGAGGAAGGTGTTGGCCTCTTCTCTCCACAACCAGTGGCAAGACATGTGGTAAGAGCACAAAGCTGCACAAGGGAGGTTCCGACTGGACATTTGGAGAAATTTCTTCTCCAGGAGGCTGGTCAAACACTGGGACAGGCTTCCTAGCAGGGTGGTTGATGTCCCATGCCTGCTGGTGTTCAATAGCATTTGAATAATACCCTCAATGGTATGCTTTAACTTTTGGTTAGCCCTGAAGTGGGTGGGCAGTTGGATGAGATGATCTCTGGGGTGACCTCACTGCTGCCTTCCGGTACGTATTAGTATTATTATAAGTATTGATAAACAAGATGGAAATTGACTTTCTATATGACATGACAGCGATAGGTCAAGGGGGAGCCGTTTTAAATCAAAAGAAAGGAGATTTAGGTTAGACGTGAGGAGAAATTCTTCGCTCAGAGGGTGGTGAGGCACTGATGCTGCTGCCCAGAGCTGTGGATGCCCCATTCCTGGAGATGTCCCAGGCCATGGATGGGCCCTGGGCAGCCCAATGTAGTGGGTGCACTCAGCCCATAGAAGGGGTTTGCGTTGGGAGGTTTTGAGTTCCCTTCTAACCCAACCATTCTGTGATTCTGTTATCAATACGGTCTTGTCCAAAGGAACTATTCTATTAATTGACTCCCTGCAAAGCCACCACAGGCTGAGCAAGGCTGCCTTGAGCTGAAGCTCCACACGGCTGATGGCCTTGCAGACGATCCACGAGGCCCAGGCGCACCGCAGGCCGTGCTCCCCGGTTACCTCACAAACCGTTCCTCACTCCCGAGCTCAGGGAGCCGGACAGCCTCTTCCCACGGCTCTCGGATGCTCCCCAGCGCCCTCAGGAGGCACCGGGACTCCCAGGAGCACCACTCCGGGACGGGCCAGCGGTAGCCCGCGGCCGAGTGCTGGGCTCTAACCCGACGCCATCGCCCGAGCGGCCCCGGGCATCCCCTCAGGCCCGCGGGAAAGGCGATAACGGAGCCACGCGCTCCTCGCGCTCCCCCGAGCCGCGGCCCGTTGGGCCTGAAGGACCGGAGAGGCGGCCGGGATGAACGGCAGAGGTCCCGCGTGTCGCAGCCGGGCGCGCTCGACGATCTCTTACCGAGAAGCGGCCCCACAGCCGCGCCCGGGAACGCGTCCCGCATCCGACATGGCAGCGGCAGCCCCACGGCTCCACTGCCGCAGCACGACCCGGAAGCAGAACGCGGCTGCGCCGGAAGTGACGTCACCGCCACCCCGAGGGCAGAGGCCGTGCTCGCCAGGGGCGGCTGAGGGGAGGCGGGGCGTCCTTGGCGCTGTGCCGCGCTTCTGTCTTTATTTTCTCTTGATACAGGCGTTGCGATTGCAGTTACGTGAAATAACTTGTCGCTTTTCGGTCTGAGTGTTAAAGCCACACGGTAGGCTGCTTGTGGAAAACTTCCTGTGTGTGTAGGTCACCGGTTGGGGGTTTCCTCAGGTTTGCTTCTTGGCAGCTTAAACGTGCTTCAGAAGTTGTGGGGTTTTTTAGCAGGTCAAAACTTGCTGCGTTTGCTTCAGTGTCACCTTTTGTGATGATTCATGTGGTGATAGAAAACAAAAACACCAAAAGGAACATGAATACGCCATCACATCAACTTTGTGTGGTATCAAAGCATTTGAGTGTAAATACAGAAAGATGAGAAGAAAAGAGACCTTAAAGGCAAGGTTCGGGAAGCACGCTTTATTTAGAAGAACATTTGAGGATTCCTTTCATTGCAAATCAAAACTGTGTCCTAAACACTGCTGTAGAACAAGTAATTCCAGGAACAGAAGTAGAAGGTCAAACTTCTTTTAAAATGCCTTTTTGCTGACTTAGTTATTGCAACATAATCTCGTGAAGAGTCCTCAGAATTCTTTCACTGTTTAACCTTTCCCTTAGAAGCAAGTTTACAGTTGTTCTGTTGATCCCCCACTTGCCTTACAGCTGGTTTCTGTGGAGTATTTGCCTTCTGTGTGTATTTGCAAACAGTAAGTAACCCAAACTGTACACTCTACTGCAAGTTTCCCAGCAGTCTATAGAAGACCATAAACTTACACATTTCTACACAAAACAATCCCTTTCCATTTCCTCCAAGAGTTGCCAAACTCGATCTGTCCAGTGCTTTAGCAGCTGTGAAGCAAATGAGATCTATTGTCAGGTGGGTGGTAAGGAGAAAAGTTTTTCCAACCAGAATGTGCCATCTCTCGAGGGCAAAATACAGAAGCACATTCCTCCAGCTCCCAGGATTTAGGCTTTTAGATGAAATATTGTGATCCTTGCTATGCACTGTGTGACTGCGGATATGGAGCAAAGCTTTGAACATGGCCGAGGGAGCAGGGAAAAGTCTCTGCGAAATGATGCCAGCAGGTATTCTTTGTGAGTGACCATACTGGAGCAGAGTACAGAACCAAGAGGGAATGCATTTGGCTTATGATCACATTCTGCCCACTGCCTGGTACAGGAGTGCACAGCTCACCATCAGGCGTGGCATTAAAAAGAAAAAAGCATTTTAGTTCCTTTGCTCATTTACACACATAAGTACAAAAGCTGCTCGAGGAGCTGCAGGAGATACAGCTGAAGGACACCCATCTTCACTGAAACATAGACAGGTCTGATAGGTCTGTTGGTCCTATGTTTGGAAAGCTCATCTTTCACTTTCTCCTCATAACTGGTGGGCATACGAAGGCTGCTGACAACACGTATAAATCAATAATATTGCCATGTCAGATAGACTTTTCTCGTATTACCACCCAGACTCTCCCATGTAGTTTGAGGAACCAAAAAATGATTGTTAAAAACAAGTAGCTTCCCTTCCTTGCCCTGCCCAATTTCCTGTGCTGGATTGAGTAATTACAGTCAGAAAAAGAAACCTCAACTGTCTCATGACTTGTAACAGAAATGGGCACCCCTGGAAAACTACCCTAGGGCCCTACTGGCTGCTGCCAGCCCTGAGTGAGGAGCCTCAAGTCTTTCACAATTGCATTAGTTACATCTCTGCAAAGTGCGCTGCATCACTATGCATCACTGATTTACTCAGAAACCTAATACTTCATTTGTGGTAGGTTATCAAGAGCGAGTCAGCTTCTTTTCTTCATAGCAGAAATAAAAAGGCTAGAGGAAGGACAGCGCACAGTTGCTTTTTACAATCCTCATTTAAATAAATAAGAACAAAGATAGAGAAGCATTTAAAGTTTTTTTTGTCTTCTCCTAATAATGCCCCTGCTGACAGCAGTCTTCTGTTACCCAGAGCGTCCAAAATGAGGTGGGATCTCCACAGGCACAAAAATACCAGCCAGCCAAAATCTGAGTGCAAGAGGCCACTTACTTTCCAGTTCTGCAATCATACAAGAAACCAGGGGGCAGGCAGCAGCCCCCTCTGGGGAGCTGATTTGGGATGGGGGCTGAGGCACTGCCAATTTCTCTTCCTTGTGTTGTCTTTGTCCAGTGACTTGTCTGATACAAAAGCTGTGAGCAAAGACAGTTCAGAACAACTGCTCAGAAATGTTACTTGATTATGGTAGCAGCTCAGCACGTTCCACCAGGCTGTTTAGAAGTCTTACAGCTCTGATACTGGACTTTTCCTGGAAGCTGAGCAGGCAAAGGACCAGGCATGGTACTACCAGGGCTGACGTATAATTTCAGTGTACTTTGCTCATTGCGGACACTCGCTGCATTTCTCTCAGTAAAAGCAGATTGCCTGAGCTGCTCTCAGTGCCCACAACACAGACAGAAAGTGGTTTTCTCACAGATTTTTACAAGTTTCAGTGCTGCCAGTTGAGAGTGATAGAAGAAATCATAGAATGACAGAGGTTGGAAGAGACATCTGAGTCCATCTGGTCCAACCCCTGCTTCAGAAGGGACACCTCTTGCCCAGCACCACATCCATGTGGCTTATGAAGATCTCCAAGGAGGAGATTCCCTGGGCAACCTGTGCCAGTGCTCCGTCAGCCTCACATTAAAAAGTTCTCCCTGATGTTCAGGGCGACATCCTGTGTTCCAGTTTATGCACATTGCCTCTTGTCCTGTCACAAACGGGTGTTCATTCTTCTGTCTTACAGGAAAAATGGAAAGTAATATTCTGGCCCTGTCGTGTCCCTCTGTGCCTTCGTTTGAGAAAAGATGAGGGACTCATTCAGCACCTCAGCCTCTGCAATCAAAACCAACTGACCTAGAACCCAATGGCGTCCTCCTGGTGAATGGTGCCCTCAATCACCGTATCTGTGGTTTGCCTGGAGCACTTGCGGCTCCCTTTCATGCTTTTCAGATTTTGTGATACATGCTTTTGGAACTTCTTGGTGAGGAAGCAGTAGATGACTGGGTCCAACACGCAGTTCATACTCAGGAGGCACAAAGTCACCTGGTGAGCATCGTTGAGCTGCTGGCGCAAGCGACAGTTTTCCTTCTTCCATTGCTCCAGAACAGTCAGTGTCCAGGGCAGGTCCACAACGTGATGAGGCACAAAGCTGATGATGAACACAACCAGCACAGTGCAGACCATCCAGAGCGCCCTTTGCTTTACGTGAGCGTTCTTCCGCTGCTGCCCTGATTTGGAGAACAGGGTCCTGATAATGATGATGTTCCAAGCTAGGATAAATAGGAAAATGATGTAGAAAAGGGTGCAGATGATGACATGAATGGCAAGAACTGGTGTAACATTGCCAGTAGAGTCATAGCGCTCAAAGCAACGTGTATAATTATTTGAGCCAATTTTCTCCACATTCGTATTATCATCAAAAAGATAATACAAAGCACTGCCCACTGTTATGATCCAGATGGCTGCTGAGAGAAAGATACCCCTTCTTTGGGTGGTAAACTGAGCTGCTCTAATGGGATTCGTCACAGCTTGGTAACGGTTGTATGTAATGACCATCAGGAAGGCAACAGAAGCGTAGGTGTTCACGAAAAAGAAACAGCCAGCCACATTACAGAGGATCTTGGGCATGATCCAGTCCCCGTGGTGGTGATAGTAAACAATCCACAGTGGCATTGTAACCAGGAAGAGCAGGTCAGCTACTGTCAGGTTCAGCATAAATATCTTGATTTCATTGAGCTTCTTGGTGGAGTAAATACGGCTGAAAATCCAGAGCACGTAGCAGTTGGCGACAAAGCCCAGAATGAAAATGATGCTGTAGAAAACAGTGAAGAGGCTGTAGCGAAACTCAGAGTCTATTGGGCACACATTGCCTGCAGCATCATCTTTGCCCTCTCCAGACATCGTGCTGTTGAGTGGAGACGTGAACCACGTGAACCACGATTTCCTGCTGTAGCTTTTCTTCTTGCCTGAAAATAAGAAGCATAAAATGAGCTGATTGGTGTTGTGCCACTACTAAGCCAAAGCCCAGCTTTCAACTTTGGCTGTCTGGAACCACAGGTGTTTTGCCTTGTGCCCTCGTTCAAGGCTCAGGCACCTGCTCTGCCCCCTTGGGTCCTGCCATCAATCCCATTTCCACACCATACTTTCCTCTGGGTCTTCATCCAGTGTTTTTTGCTACAGTGCTGATCTCAGATCACCAGTCTCAAAAGACTTCTACATGAAGGTTCATATAACAGGTAAAGCCTCTCTTACTCTCCTCCCAGCTACACAGACTGAGCTTCTTCATCTTTTACTACCGGCATGCAGGGTTTTCTTGATTCTTAACTGCAGTTCTCTTTCTTTAAAGCCTGCCTGTTTTTGGCTGTGCCCTCATTCTGAATTCAGGCTTTTCTCAAATCGGTTTGGCTCTTTTTTTCCCCCTATCATTCCTGCATCAAATGCAATTGGAGCAGCAGCAGTTCTGTGCTTTCCACTGAAAGTAACTGACAGTCACTAAAGAGATGCCTTCAGGATTTTAGTATTACCAGTCTCCCCCTCAGTTAGTAGTTCTTCAGACCTTACCTACAGCTCTGACATCCAATTTCTGCATCGTCAGTAGGGTCTGTGTTCTTGTCTCAGGTCTAGGTGGGATTCAGACCAATCCCTTGCATACTCCAACCTGCTTATTTCACTGTACAGAGGACATAAGCCCTGCTCTTCTTTCTAGCACCAGCGCCCTGTTTGATGCTGGACAGGCACTCACCTCTGCCAGTCCTGCAGATCTGCTGGTTTTTGCTCCCTTAGGAAGCTGGAGGAAGATGACTGACTATCACAGAGTTGCTGCTTTGTTGTGGTGAGCCACCAAATGAGTGTGAGGCTGCTCATTCACATCACACAAGGCTTGTAACTAATCCAAGCCAACGCAGGGTTTGTCAAATGCAGAACGTGGTGGTTTGCCATGTAAATTCTGCCACCAGTCACAATGCCTGAACTTCTTGTGCAAAGTACGAGGGCAAAGCCAAGTGCTGCACATTGCAGTGTGCTTGCTGTGCTCTGCCAGCCCCATGGACACCAAGAGTTTCATAGCAAGCTTCCTCCTGGGCAAGCACCTTCTGCCTCAAAACTGCATCTTCCCTAGCAGCAGAGGCACGAAACCCTCTCTGAGACACTTTTGTGCCCACATGGTGTTGGTTCCTCATTTGTGGCACTGCAGTTTTCCTCTCCAAATAGAGAAGTCATGTTTACCTCAAGAAAACTGCCCCTTTCCTCAGAACACTCTGCAAACACCTTTGTACTTCTTTGTACTTCCCAGCTGGGAGAAGAGGAAGGCAGCAGTCACCTTCCCCAGCCTGTCCATCCTTACTCTTTACAGGTGCCTTATGGACATGACAACTCTGGATGCCCATGACCTGCCCTGGGTCCTTCCCATTGCTGCTGGCTGCTCTGCTCCCTGTTCTGATTTATGCAAGGCTCAAGGCAAGTCCTGTGTTGTCTCATGGCTCCATTTCTGCACCCTCATTTATAGGTGAAAATTGCTGTCCCGCTCAATGGGAACCCAGCCCAGGTAAAGACATGAGACAATTGGGAGGGCTGGCATCCCTGGTCAGGGGGCAGCAGGCACAGACACTTCAGGCAAGGGGTGAAGAGAGACTCATGGGGACCTCTGTGCTCGATATGCACTCTTCTAATGGCAGAATAAGAAGTAAAGTAAAGTCTTAATTACCTAAGATCATTAGAGACCTCATGGTTGCTTCAAATCTATATCTTAAATTCACTTTTCTGACTGGCTGCCACCTTCAGCAAATAGTTCTGCTATTTGGCACTGGGATCTTTGACGTAACCCACAGTCAATTTGGGCTCTGCCGCAGTGAAATCCCTCCACCCCTGCATGTCTGCTGCTGCACACTGGGGCTCTATGAACTTCCCTGCTGTCTTTTTCCAGACCTGCCCCCAGCTGCTGGATTGAGCAGACAGGTGCTAAGGAAGTTAAAGCTGTGCATCCCCCACCTGCAAAGCCCTGCACCCAAGGAAGACAGGTTTGGGCTGACGGGGCTGCACTCTGACTGGAGAGATGAATGCAAGGATGTGCTCTAAGTTGTTATCTGTGCTCTGGCAAAGGAGCAAGATGGGCGGTAGGAGAGGACGATGCCTTCTACAGCTCTGGCAGGGCTTGGTCAAACTCATCTACCTTGGCAGTAGTTGGCTGTGCAGAGCCAATGCTGAGGTCCTCCAGGGAATCTCAAGAGAGTTTTTGCCTTCTTGTTTGCCAACTCAGATGTTCCACATCATGTAACTAGTTGAGAGCGTGGCACCACTCCCCTCCAAACTTACTCAACACCAGTTTTACTCTTCAGCCACAGCAACCATATGGTCATCCCACTCAGTCTCTCCTCTCGAGGCAGTTCCCCTTTATATAAAACACAAACGTTCTCTGTGCCAGCACGAGGGAAAAGTGGTGGTCGAGTCCAGGCTGACAACTGTGGGTCCCATTCCCAGTTGCACCAGGCTGCACTGTGTTACCACATCCCTGGTAGCTGTAGCCCAAAGCCACTGCCCAGTACATTTGTGCACCAGCTGATAATCCCCAGAGCTTCCTATCATCAGGTCTACCGTGTGCAGAACTAGAGGCGAAGTCACCAGCTGCACAGGAGAGCGGCTGGGATAAACGCAGACTCTGGTCCCAGTCTCTCCAATGGGCCATGCTCTCCCAGTAAGGATTCGCTGGCTGATGGCTACAACATGAGAAAAACATCTTTCAGCAGGAATAGCATCAAGAAAATCGCTTTTGTGCCTTACCACAAAGGGATTCAGTGCAATATGTCCATCTTCAGCTCTAATGGAGATCGTGTCTTACTGAGGCTGCTCAATCCTCTTCTCAGTGTTACATTCTCCGACCACAGTCTGAAAGGTCTCCCCAAGGGCAGCTCTCAAGGAGAGGACACCAGAATGGGAGCAACTGCAGCATGAGTGCAGAGTCACTAGAGAAGAGGAAATGTGTGACATCAGCTCAAAGGAAATGAGAAATAAAATAGCCTTGTAGAGGAAAGCAATCAACCGCAGCAAAGATCTGGAAAGTCCTTAGAGCTGTTTCCTCAAAACATCTTCTGATTATCCCGAAAGAAGGCAGAGTTGGAATTTTCCTTTAAATGCAGAACAGGAATCCACTCTTTGTCCCTGGGATCAGATAGCATTTGAACATCCTTCTCCTAAATAGATGAATGGCAGAAGCCAGAAGAGTTTTGACCCAATAACTCAAAGAAAAGAAAGTGCCAGGAGACTCATATACCTCACAGACAGACTCATTAGCAGAGTCTCCTTCACATTTGTGTTCGGTGCAAACAGACCCAGGAATATTGCCATGCCACATCTCCTTTCATCTCAGGGGCTTTCAGCAGGCACTGGGACACAGCAGCATGTCAGATCTTCTGGATCAGTGGCCATCACATTCTGACCGCCACGACTGCGGCAGCCTGAGGAGCACTCATCACAGGGATGCAAATTGATGCGGTGCTCAGGGGGATGCCAGCGATAAGCAAAGCTGCAGGTACGGCCCCAGCTAGGCCAGCATGTTCCAAATGCAGCCCCCATGCTGGGGGCTACTCTGCCCTCCATGCGAGAGGCACCAGCAGTGCTGTGAAGGTGAACCAAAGACCCCGATCCTCCTCGGAACGGCCAGAGCCCCATTTGTGCCCTGCCCGTGACAGCGATTCTGGGAACTTAAATTAAAAACAAATTAAAAGCACTCCAGGGAGGCTGGCTGGCAACTGGGCTGTGGCTTTGGACAGAGCAGGCGGTGAGGATATCTTGTCACAGGGGGAAGGGGACCATTAGCAAAGGCAGCAAAGCTGCAAAACAAAGTGTGCCGTCCTGCACAGCCAAGTTCTTAGAGGAAATGAAAGCCCAAGAGGTCTGGGGCTGGGGAGGAGTTCTGGTCAGAAATCACACCCTGCTCTTCTGGGACTGCGCCGCTGCTGTTTCTGAGTGTGTGACATGGAATCCAGCCTTTGAATGCATGGTGCTTTCAGGAGCCCAACTTACAGAGCAGCCCGGGTCTTCCAGCCCTGGGGAAGCACACAAAGTCTGCCTGCACTGAATGCCATCTTGAACATGCCTTTAGTTTTATTAAAAAAAGAAAAAAAGCAATCTAATTATTATTATTTTTTTTTTACTATAATTGATTCCCATGCAGTGCTGATAATTAGCATTAATGGTACTTTTGCTTGCTGTATCCAGGACACTGGATCCCAGAGTAGCTCTTCCAATTGATGCTTTTCGGGGCCAACATCTGGCTGGAATGCAGTGGGATGCTCCGCTTGTTCCTGGCACCACATCAGTACTTTCAGAGCGAGCACTTGCTCCTACCATGCACAGAGGTGGGTGCTGCCTCCTTGTATGCTCTGGCAGTTTTTCTTAAGCTCATCCCCTTGAGACACAGCCTGTTAGCAGAATACCCATTTTTTATGACCACAGCTTAGTTTTGCAGGCACGACGGTTTAGAAAATATGATCTCATCAGCAAATCCCTGGAGATCATTTCATTAGTGGAGAAAAACTCAGCATGGACTGCAAGCAGAGCAGCAGCAGTTAGCAGGTGGGCTCTGCACACATTCTCAACTGCTCTGTTCAGTGACAAGGGCAGCAAATAGAAACAACATGAAGTGCCAGTGCTGAAGCTGCCAGCAGGACAAGAGCAGTGCGGTGCTGTGTGCAGGGCAGGAATACAGGTGAGCATGAGCCCTGCTGCTCCCAGGCAATGGGTGAGCTCTGCAGACGTACACGAGCCAGGCAGACTCTAGATGGCTTTGTTACCCAGACCCATCAGCATCAGGGTTTGAACACTGCAGCTCAGGGCTGCTCTGAATGGAAGCTTTGCCTCTGCACCCCTTTGGGCAGGAAATCCCCATCACTGGCACTGAGTGCAGGGCTCTCCAGCACGATGGCTGCAGTGAGAGCTGTGCTCTGCCCAGAAGCCGTGTTGGTGCCCCCTTACAGCGATGGCATTAAAACAGCCCCCAGACAAACAGCAACGGACTGCACTGCCACCGCCGCATCGCCACGATTCCACTTCTATTCTGTGGTTGTGAGCTGTCAGCAGGGCACAGGGCAGTGCCACCACTCAGGGCACAAACACACACATCTGCTGGGGGCAGCCAGGCAGAGAGGGACAGGGCAGCCTCAGGCCAGAGACCTCCTGGGGATGCACAGCCAGCCTGCATCCCACCGCCACAACACAGAGCAGAAAGAGCTGATGAGCTCGGGAGGGAGGTGAGCAGAAGGGATGGGATGCCCTTACCTTGGGGCTATCCAGCCCAGCAGACGCTGGTCCTCCGTGAGCAGCAGCAGCGTGCCAGGCCTGGAGGAGCTCTGTCAGGAGGAGCAGGGACGGGAAAGAAGGCGCTGGTCCACAGGTGGGTGACTCACTTCCCTCTTGGCACTTGCAACACGGCTCCGACGTGCCCCAGCCACACCCTGGTGCAAACCACGGATCTCACAGGGAAATGGCTGTGCAGGACAGAGGCTCGCTACTCTGGCATCATCCTGTGCCCTGGGATGGGGCAGCCCCACCTGCAGCAGCTCCACACCAGGGGTCCGGGCTCAGCATCCTCTGGGCTTCTCATTCCCTTCCAAGCACGGGTGGCAGCCAGCACAGCACTCCATGCTTGTTCCAACATCTCAGCAGCAGCTGACTTCAGTGAGGCACTGTGTCAGTATGAGGCTGCTCAGTGTAGGAGTCCCAGAGGGTGATGGGGAAACACCAGCCAGAAAAACACCCCAGGCTGTGGCTGCAAGTTCCCTTGCCCTCATGGCAGCTCCTTTCCCACCACTTAGGGAAGAAAGGATGGATGGAGCTCCCTTTCTTTGGAGCCCGCTCACTCTCTGGTTTGCTGCCATAGCCCCAGGGCAATGGCCAGGTTCCACCTAGGGTTTCCCCAATTGTGCATCGATATTGCACAGACTACAGGCATAACACCAGTTTGAGTCACTCGTGCTGTAATGAGATTCCACATTTCCTTCTGCTGCCTGCATTCACCGCAGGCTGTTTAACACGGAAATGCTGCTGGGTTTTCTCTCTCTTAACAAGAGCCAGCACTGGTTTCTGCAAGGAAGGAGGCATGAGGATTCTGAGAGCTGGGACAGCCCCAAAGGGCTGAACAACCACTGCGGGTAGGTGCACAGAAGTATGTTGAAAGCGCATCATATCCAACCTGGGCTGTTACCAAAAGGAACAGACACAGACTGTAGTCACACAGGTCCCCATCTAAGCCTGCTGGACACCCAGCTGCTCTGCTCGAATTGTGCTGGGCCATGTGCCAGCATGATTTTCCTTTACCGCTCCTCGTCATCAAAATACCCTCACATAAACTCCATTCCACCCAGGTCAACATGGCAAAGCGCCCAGACGGGGTGTGCCTGCAGCTGAAAAGGATGCACCAGATAAGATGGGTGATAGATAAATCTCATCCGTTATTTTCAATTTACATCCTTGCTTGCTTTGGTGAGAACAAAAGGCAAAAGCAAGTGACTCTGCACCTTAGTTTCATGTTCATATTAATGCTATTTGACAGGTCACCCTTCCGTTCTGGCTTGGAGGAGGGGCCGTGTGGTTTTCTAATAGACATGATTGAAACAAAAATGAATTTTTTGTTATCTGGGAGAAGGATACAAAAGATAACACAAGGACTTTAGGATGAGAGGTAATGGCCTCAAGTTGCAGCATAAAGGGAACTTCAGGTTGGATATTAGGAACAGCTTTTCCAAGAGAGCAGTGATGCAGTGACACAGGCTGCACAGGGGGTGGTGGGTCACCAGGTGCTCCAGAGCCACAGGGATGTGGCACTGAGGGATGGGGCAGCAGTAGGGGTGGGGATGGACTTTGGGATCTCAGAGGTCTTTTCCAACTTGACTGAGTTCTCTGCAGCTGTAGGACAGGCAGGTATCTCAGATGGGAAATCTCAATGAAGCAGGCTGTCAGAGAGGCTGGCAACGTGAAGAGTCCAGTGCAGAGATATGGAAGAGGTCAAGCTACAGATGTGCTAGAAATTAAAGGCTGAGTTCTCGCAAAGGACGTAGCCATTCTTGCCCAAGGACTCTGGAGCCTTTTTGTGCCCGTTTTGTGCACAAAACCAAGTCCAAGCAGCAAAAGGCATTGCTAAAACCACAGGAGCTGCCAGCAGCCAGAGGAGCACAGCATGCAGCTCAGCCCCCAGCACAGCCATGCGTGCTGTCAGGCCCTGGGCAGCACGTTGGTACACAAGATAAGAGACAACGCCTGCATCCCATGGCCGTGTGAATCGCAGCTGCCCGAGCAGAGGAGGCCTTGTTTGCTTCTATCTCCATTTGTAAGAAGAAAAGGAAGCCGTGACAGCCTTTGTGTTCTAGATAACAGCACTGCAACAGCCAAATTCTTTGTGAAGGAAACTTGCTACGCTAAAGCCCAACCTCTCACAGTTTAAGATGTTCTGAGAGAGCACAGTCCAGCACAAAAACCTCCTATTTGGAGGAAGAGGACCTGCCCTCGATCTCTGCTACCTGGGTCCTTCTATCCAGCATTGCCATACCTATAGGCAATACCCCAGAGCTACAGTTATGCTCCTGAAATAGGCAGGGTAGGAAAAAGAGGAGTTCTCCATGCATTTGCAAGGATAGGCATCTCTTAGGGAACAGGAAGGCCAGAAGATACAGCAGCATACACAGCATAGGCAAGGTGGTGCTGGACCAAGCCACCTGACTGCAAACCATGTCCAGCAGGAGCTAGGGGATGATAAGCAGAAGAAAGCATCTCCACCAGCATCTGCCAATCTGTGGCAGAGACCTCCTCAGCTAGCAGGAAACATATTTCTGTCTTTTCAACCAATTTCTTGTTCATTTCCCTCCATAACTTCTTGTTCATGGGTTCAGGAAGAGAACAGCTTGATGACTTGATTTCCCTCTGTACTCTTTTTGAAGGCTATACAGTAAAGCATGTATAAAAAATAGGCATCTGTGCAATCTGTACGGCAGCTCCACAACATGGCTTCACAGCAAGGAGGATTGTTTTACTTCATTCTGTCTCTGCTAATAGAACTCTATTCACTAAGAGGGCTCCTGAGCAGGAGAAGTAAATGAGAGAACACCACTATGTGCGACAACCTAAGATAAACGTTGAGTAACACAATGGTTCGTGCCTCTTCAAGAACAGATTTCATCTGTCTTATCACTCAGGTTTCTACAGCTGTCATAACTTGATTTGCAAAGGGAAAGGCAGAATCTTTGCCTCAGATGAGAACCAAAACCTTTAGGAACAACGTTGGGATTCCTAGAGATCTCCTTACTCCCACTGATGTGTTTTCTGGTTTTAAGTATCAAGGACAAACACTTTAGCCTCCACGCAGCACTGACCCAAAAACAGCTCCAAAGAAGATGATCTCAGGGTTTTAGGATTTGCATCATCTCTACCTCTTGAAATTGAAGTGTTTCATTCAGTCTGCCCCACAGCCTTGGTGTACACTGCAGAGGCTGAGCAACAGCTCAGGCTGCATCTGTTGTGCACCCACATGGTGCATTATTATCCATCCAAGCAATTCAAACAAGTTTGATTTTACAAAGCCTGAATGAAAGGATCAAGATTCACCTCCCTTCAATACAGCAGGGAAATAGTCAGCAAAGGGCCAGGTATTTTGTTGCTGTTAAAGATCACCAAGCTGATGAGAAGCTTCGAAGGACTTGGCTGAGTAGATAAGGTAGGAGAAGAACTGCATACTTGGACATATAAGCATACAGGTGGAACAGGAAGAAAGCAAACAGGAGCAGCTAAATTGAAAGTGAACAACCTTATTTCTAAGACATTTCTATTTCTAAGACACGTTTTGCTGCACAGCAAGGCACACTCAGTGGAACAAATGACTCAAAGGAGCTCAAGGCTGCACTCAGTGTCAGTGCTGCATCGCTCCATTGGTCACACTCATAAACAGATGCATTTCTGAGAAAGAGAATCAGGAACTTCACATAAGAAAAATCTCAAGCTCTAATGGGACTCATCCTGTGCTACTTGAAAAAAAACGTGAAAAGAAGATCTGAAAGGTCAACACCGTGTGTCAGCAAAGACATTAAACCATGTGAAAGGAAACGCTACCAGCAAGACCAAGACTTCAAAATC